TATATATATATATAAAGAATATATATAAAGAATATATAAAAAGAATATGGGGGGCCTGGGAGATAAGAGGTCGTGTATGCTGTGCTTGTAACATAATATTGCTTATACTGTTTCTGTATATGACTTCAGTTGTGGGATGAACTCGAGTTCGGGGGAACAAACGTGACGCGGGCTGACCACCAACGCATTGATCACACTCGGACATTCTGGTATTTCGAGCACGGGGGCTTTCCAGATAAACCTTTAAGCCAGATAACTGGCGAAGACACATACCCCGAACAGTAGCCGCACGGTCAAGGGGCTGCAGCTCGAGAGGAAGTGCAACACAGAAAGCGCAATACAGCAATCAATGCTACAGAAGACGAGACAATATAATACAGGGGGGAATGAGAGGAAGCCCATGCGGGGAGACGTCTGGTGCCTCTGCTCCTCACAAGAGCTTCATTGCATATATATATACATACATATATATATATATATATATATATATATGTACTCGTCGGTGTGTTTCTCTTCACTATGAAGAGCAACCCATAGCGCTCTGTGTGCCTTTGTGGCTACTCCTACTTAAGTAGGAATATCGCTAAAATTTGATGTGTTTCTTAACGTTTTGGTGTACGTACACTTCAATTTTGTTTTATAGCTGTTCGCGTTATATCTTGTTCGTCATACGGATTAAATGATACTACCTGGAGAACAACAAACGGCAGTCAGTCGGTGTGGTCAGAGTTGCACAGTTACTTAGGATCTCCTGGTGGACCTACATTAGTACCCTGACAGGCTTTCTTCTAAATTTCAGTAAAATTTCTACTCGACGTTGCATATTTCTGGGCCACAATTAAAAAAAAAAGACAGTTTCTGCGGGCGGGCGGAAATGCCGCCTCTGCCTGTTTCCCCGGAGAGCACGGAACAAACAGTAAACAAAACGGAACACCGAAGAAAGCAGTATCGGCTTGAACGAGCAGTCATATAGGCAGTGAATAAAACATCTGAGATAAAATAAAACTCCGGGGGTTTCTCCTGTCGTCCTCCTGTACTTGATCCTGGAGGGCCAGCATCCCTGTGGTATGCCGTTGCTGGCTTGGTGGTGAGCCCAGGTAACTTTGATCGCTGATCCAGAAACAGTTGCAAGTCGATCCCTCTCCTACGTTGCAACAGCCAAAAGAAAAAGGTAGTAATACCTTTTTTTTTTAACTTACCAGGCGGCCGAGTGTACTGCTTTACTTTGTTTCCTTTACGGGTACATTATGCATACATGTACAAGCGCAACCACTTCGTACTGTAAACTAAAGCTGTGAATATAAATTCACGAGAATCATGATTCACGAAAATTTTGGTTCTCTTGAATTTCATGACGAGGAGTGAGTGATCCGCATATATCTACAAGCCTAGGGAAAGCTATCATCTAGTACAGTTTCATTAGATATCTAGAAATCGCTCGGCCCTTTCTTTGTATTCTCTCTCTTTTGTGAGCCACTGCATCTCTATCTATGAATTCAGCAAGGCTCCAAGGAAGTAAACAAGTACGTTCTTCTATTCCTTTTAGAACAATTTCTGTCTCTACTTACTCACTGAAAAGTAAACAAGGTAACGCTCAGAAGATCAGCGCAATATGAAACGGTGAACAACATACGGTTAACTGCTTCCTACCGAAAAGAATCCCGAAATTCAACTGCATGCATAAGTGCAACTGCCTGCTGCTGTTTGTACGAACTAGCCTGCAACTACGATACATACTGAAGCACACTGAAAAATTCAATATGCAGAAGAACGACGGACAGCCTGTACAGCAGTAGATGTAGGCGATTCAACAACGAACGCAGCGTCCGGCGATGCAGCAGAAACAAGCATTGCACCTAAATGCAGCTGAACACGAGTTCGACAATGGATGCTATCAACGTGGAATTTAAGGAGTGTCACGTGCGGGCTAGAAGATTGCCTGGATCATCTTCACAGCCGAAGCAAACCCAGGCAGCTTATCCACTAGAACAGCCCGTGCACCTCCTTCAGCTCATGCACGTGAATACGATGAAATGCTACAGCTTACGTCTCGCATCTACAGCATTTTCCCTGCAGTGCTGTTCCTGAAGTACTTCTACATCTTTCCGCAGCGCAGCGCTACACCTACAACAGGTACAACTTTCTTGTAGTAGGTGTAGTGCTGCGCTGCGGAAGTGTGCAAGGC